GAAGGTGTTTAATGTTTTATTAAGTGTCATTTATTTATCCATAAACCTGGTTTTGGGTTTAAATAAAAGCTTTTTCATTCTTATAATAAAATGCATATAAAAAATTATGAAATCGAACTCGAAGGTTATATATCTTTCAATAAAAAGAAAACATTCGACCTCACAGGGATTCGATCTAGCGGTCTTGTAGTGATTGCAGTGCCCCTGGTGGTAACATTTGTCTCTAGTTGATTCTAGCAACGAGCGAAGATAGGAAGTCGAAAGACCAGTTAATCTACCGACTCTGGTGTAATATAGCGAGGGCGCCGCGTTGCCGACCCCTGATCTAGATCTAGGTGAAAACTACAATTCTTTAAGTATTAATAACAATTTTACGTACGAAAATAATAAAAAAATGAAAACTACTTTTAAACCTGTTTGGAAAAGAAAAACGTAGATGTATATTTTGTTAATTGTAAAGAATAAATGTGAGGTGGCGCTTTAGGAGAAAATCGGTTTCTTTTTTTTATGTCTTGGGAAGGAGACGCCTTTAATCACAAAGTTTTGGTTTATTAAAAAAAATATTGTGGAAAATTGGGAAATTTTAAAGAATTGTACGAGTTATGTTAATTGGAATTTAATAAGTATTTAGTAAATGTGTTATTTAATATGTTTAGTAAAATGAATTTGAATTTTAAAGTCGTGTTTACTTGGCCTGACGTTTGCTTGACCATTGAGTTTTTAGGACTCGTTTCGTTTTAATCCGAGCAAATGTAATTCGAACGATATATTCTTATTATTAATCTTTATTGTTAAAAAATTAATTAAATTTACATCTAGAAGATGGCATTCTCTGTACTTATGCCGAACAATTCCATGAACTTCACCGAAAATCATCAAGGTTCTTTAATTTTGGATAAATTGAGAATTCAGAGAGAAAATGGAAGATTCTGCGATGTTACTTTTCACGTTAAAGGCAAAGAATTCAAGGCTCATCGAAATGTTCTCGCCGCTTGTAGCCCGTATTTTGATTCCGTGCTCAAGATGCATAAGATTGTTAAGGAGCAGTTAACCGTTAGCTGTCGCAGTCACGAGGCCTTCCAATTGCTGCTCAACTATATGTATACAGGTACGGTAATGATAGACAGAAGTAATGTAGAAGAATTGCTACGTCTCGCTAACCATTTTTTGATCCTCAAGCTGAAAAATTATTGCGCCGAATATCTAGAACGTTACCTAGACGTTACTAATTGTTTGTCCGTTAAAGAAATGGCCGAGAAATACAATATGGTGTCTCTTATAGATAACGTGACCATTTTTATTCAGAGAAACATAAATACTGTGATGGAACAGGAAGAGATGTTGGAATATCCGCTTTTTAAAGTCGAATCTTTTCTTTCGAGTAAGAGTTGGTACGTGCCGCAGGCCACGTTGATGAGGTTTATTACCAGATGGGTCGGTTGCGACATTACCCGACGGGAGAGTGACATGAGGACCCTACTCACTTTCATAAATTGGCACTCTTTGGATCGTTCTTTTATCGAAGAACATTTTGCCGTAGAACCGTTGTATAAAGAAAATAAGCATTGTTTATTTTTTTGTTTGGATGGCTTAAAAGAAAGTGGAATTAATCTTTACGCGTACCAAACGATATATAATAACTTGAAATCTCAATTTGGATCTGTCGAACCGCTTGTCGATAACGATAAGTTCGTGAATCTTGCCATATCGGCTGCTATAGAAGAATTACAACAGATGCCGCTACCTTCTAATACCGACGACGATAATTGCGGACTGGTAAGCGTTCGCGGTTCCACGGAAAAAAAGAATGCTAAACAGATGAAAGAAAATTTAGGAAACGAATTAATGACAAATAATATTACGAAAAAGAATCCGGAAGAATCCGAAAGTACGAGCGAAGTATGTTCGAGAGGTAAAAACATTTATCTATTTAGAATTAATGTGAGTTAAATGGGTTATCGGCTAAACGATTCTCTTTATACGTATAATTTAATATATAACGCGGGACGATGTCGCGAGTCGGGCGGGCAATCCTTGGCATGTGTGCCAAATGTGAATTTCGTTCCGGGACTTGGCTTAAAAAATATACGACGTCAAAATATTTTTTTGTGTTTCGTAAAGAATTTATCGGATTTGTAAAGTTTGTGCATATCTGGATGACACCAAATAATATACTCTAAAAAATTTTGGTTGTCACATGATTTTGGCATATGCACACAGAGTTTGCTCACATCTCATAAGCTTTTCAAGTTAATATACAGCACAAAACAATGTTAAGTTTTATTAATTCATAACCTCAGGTTTCTACATAGCTATTCTCTTTATATGTAAAGAAAAATAATAACTAGCTATTCAGATAATACTTTATCATAATTCATTGAAAATTACTGGGTTTTTACATTAATACATTGATCTTTAGTCATAATCAATGAATAATGTTCATAAGAACAAATTTATATTTAGTGTTTTAAGTATTGGAAAAAAGTAGAGAAGATTTTAGTATGAAATAAAAATTTTGGTTATAGATTTTTTGCAGTTTGAATAAATTCAACTATATGGAAATTTTTGTCTATTCTAATTGTTTTCTCAGTGATGAATTTTCTAAGATATTCCTAAATTACCACTGAGAAAAGAATTGATTTAATGCATTTTGTAGTTAAAAATATCTCATGGCCATTAATTTTAAATAAATAAGAGAGTTAAAGGTAATTTATTGCAATTCGATGGAAAATATGCGATATTAATAAATGCTAAAAAAGTTTTTCTATAAATGAAATCTTAATCAGCATTAGTCTGAAAGAGTAGGCCTACTTAGCAAATTTAAATAATATATCGAGGAGAATATAGATGAATCAGTTTTCTTTATTTATAAAACGCTAAATTTCAGCATCAAACTAGTTATATAAATTTGTATAAATTTAACATATAGGTTAATTTTAATGTTTTCATATCTGTGATCCATTGCTAAAAGTTTTAATTATTCAAGTAGACAGTGGAAACATTCTAGATAATTTTACATTGTCATAAACTAATAACATCTAATTGTTGCTATAGAATTATTTATGAATTATGATACATGGCTGTAATTGGAAATCTAATTTGTTTTTTTTTTTCGGATTTCGGGGATCCGAAGCGCTCTAGCTGTCTGTATGCTTCATATTCCTAGTGATTGATCCAGCACTGCAAATAGATATCTTGCATTGATTGGGAAGAGCCAAAAATATTTACAATGTAGATGAAAATTAAAGTTTGTAGCAAAAGTATTAATAAAATAAGTTGTATTGAAAAAAAAAATATATTGTAATTACTTTACATTACTCTTTTGTAACTACAATTGATCTAGTTTGATTTGATAAACATAACAGGTAAAGAGTCAAGTCCAATAGAGAAAACACAGATAAGTGAAAAAAGTTCAAAGTTAATTGAAGAAGAAAAGAAAAATATAGTAAGCATGGTAAGAAATAATAAAATATAAATGTAGTAAACACGGTAAGAAAAAAATCTAACAGACTTGAGATCTACTTATTCATTTGCATGAATATATTCTTGCATGCTCTGGTGATGGTCAATACTGTATTTCTCTTTTATTATAATAATAATTAAAAGCATAAATCAATTCAGTTGCATTGTAAAATGTAACTGAATCAATTTTTTAGATCGTAGAGATCTGACTAACCAATTACAGTTGCTATATTTAAATGAAGGACTAGATACAAAAAAATTCACATAACCTCACATAATTGTAAGAGACCCTACTTCAAAACTAATGTATTTTTACTAGACTACGAGTATTGAATTTAATCTTAATAGAATTCAAAGATTTTAAAAAGAAATTATATAATTAAATATTTTAAAATTTACCAATAAAAACATTGTTTTGTTATTTGACAGAATTAAACATACATTTTCTAAAATATTTAGAATATTTATTTTAGTAGTCAGAAAGCCATTTGTAATATAGAAACATTAGAATTAAAGAAAATAAGTGTGGAAAATTCTCACTAACTTTATGCCCATTCCATATTGAAAATGTCCACATACTAAGTACAAAAAAAAGAGGTAATAAATCAAAATACAGTTANTATATCTATTTTTTAAAATATGTATATAGCCTGTGTAAGTCAAAAGGAGTTTTAAATTTCATGATGATTTGGCTAACTCTAAAATTCAAAAGTTTGGAAATTTTCAAATAAGCACTTCATGAGTATTTCTTTGTTAATGTTTAAAGAATGCTTTGTCAAACTATTATAGTGTATATAACAGTTGATATCAGAAAGAAATAATATATATTTCAGGTACAATTATAAGATGCATTATTGTGCTTGCAATATATAAATTTGCAGCATGTCACAAAACTTATTTTTGTGACTTGCTGCAAAACTTAAAAAATAAAATATGGTGGACTTTCAGTTAAAAAAATAAGTGTCAACTATTGGTTAGTATATGTCCTAAATGAAATACTAACTTTCATGTATACTGGACTACTTAAGTCAAGAAAATTTTAGTTAATAGTCACTGTTGACTGTTCTCCTTACTTTACAGTATCTGCATAGGGTGCTAAGTAATAACTGTTAACATCAGTACTCCATCTGCTTAATGATCAGAATTCAATATTGTGTTCAGAACAGTTTTAACAAAATTAATTTATCAAGTTTTTTTTTTCGTAATGAAAATTTCAGGCACTTAGCTATTTTCAGGAGATTTAAAATTCTTTTTTGTAAACATGCATCTGTAGCATTTTTATTTTCTATGAAAGTGCTATATATTTTTTTATAGTTTTATCTTTAAGATAAATACATAGTACAATACAGTGGGTGATCGGTTAATAAACATAATTTGTTCCAAGATTTTGTTCTCTATCCGATTATTGTTTTACCATAGGTTTTTATGAGAATTTGATTAATTCATTCTGGAAACTTCAAAAAATAAAAAATACATACAGTAGAGCATCGATTATCCGACTTAATTGGGAACTGGGGTTGGTCGGATAACTGAAAAAATTGGATAACCAAAAAAAATGAAAAAAATACATTATTAATATAGTATATTAGTATATCCCATGTAACTACTATATTAGTATATCGCTATTAATCAACTTCGCGTTGAATTTTCATCAATGTTAAGCATAACAAATTTTTTAAAAATAATAATCGTCACTATTGTATCGTTAAAAATTATTTTTAAATTATTTTATTGCTCACAAAACAAACAACCACTCATAATTAGAAAATTAAGTCTCGTTTAAATACTGGCCTCCCTTCTATGGTCAAGCCGTGTTGCCAGCTAAAACACACAAAAATTTAACAAAAATAATATTAAAGTAGTCAAGACAGCCAAATATTGTAGTGCCTATCACTAGTGGACATTTGAAATTTGCCGACTAGAACACGGTCGGTTAACCAATGTGACGGTTGATCAGGGGTCGAATAATCGATGCTCTACTGTACTTTCTTACTATGTTTATTTATATGTAAAAGTAAAAGTACATACAGTCGACCCCCCCCTATAATGCGGTAGATACGTTTCGCTTTATAAGAATTTCGCGTTGTAGGAATCCTCAAATACGTTAGCCAATCACAGCCTGGCATGTGTGCAGTTTACGGACTACGGCTGTTTGAAAGGTTTTCTTCCATAAAATTAATCGATTCTAGACTAATTTCACTCAACATTTCCAAAACACATATAATTAATTTTTTTGGGACTAATCTGTATAAACTATGCCAGCGCTGTCCAACTTATCATAGCCCGTGGGCCATATTTTCTTTACCAAACATTTCGGGGGCTAAGAAGGTTGCTGCTGTATTCAGCCAGGTTAAGTGAAGTTACGCAAACTAAATAGTACCTACTTTAAATTCAAATTAGATTTAAATTTTCACATAGTAAAATAATTTTAATATTAATAATAATAATTTAGTAACATAAATTTATTCATAGTAAAATGTACTCGGGGGCCGTANAAATTAGATTTAAATTTTCACATAGTAAAATAATTTTAATATTAATAATAATAATTTAGTAACATAAATTTATTCATAGTAAAATGTACTCGGGGGCCGTAAAAATTATTTGGCGGGCTGCCAGTTGGACAGCCCTGAACTATGCTATAAACAAAAAATTGTAGGATTACTATAAACAAAGAATTGTAGGATTAGGATTGCTATAAACAAAAATTAGGATTGCTATAAACAAAGAATTGTAGGATTAAGCAATGGCATAATGGCAAACAAGCTTAAGCAATGGCATGGTTGAACGGTGCACACTCGGTAGAGTGTGCACCGTTTGACCATGCCATTGCTTAAGCTTGTTTTCGTCGCGGAGCAGTGCACCAAACGGCAGCTGCGTTTTCTGATAAGTTATTTTTCTGCAAAAAATTTGTTGAACTTTGGAGACATCATTAATAGAAATAATTTTTATGATCGTTGAATAAGAAATGTTTTTTCACAAGAAATGTATAAAATTACAGTACTGTATTAGACTTACAGTACCTAATTTAGGCCTATATACCAGGGATGGCCAACACATAGACCGCCGTCGACCGATCGACCGCAAAGGTTTTGAAAGTGGCCCGCAAAGCTAAAGTTGAACAATTTGCTTTCACTTAAATTAATGTTTAAAAATCTTAATTTGATAATTTATTCTTACAATAATAGACTGTCTGTGCAACATATTCATACTGTTTGTATTTATCCCAATGAACAATGCAAATGAATGTTAACGCATGCACATATAAATGGCAATCGCATAAAATGGCGCAAAATCATATGTCAGACAGTAACGTGACATATTTGTAGTCGCTCGCAAACTATATTTTACCAAAAAAGTAGCCCCTAAGGGATAAAAGTTTGGCCACACCTGCTATATACTGTACAGACGATAGTAAACTCAACTTACCCGCCTAAAATTTCCGTAGCG